ACAACAACGACATCAATGACGGTTATGCTGATGATGACAGCAATGGTGTTGATGATGGTTGTAAAAATAGAAACATCAACAACAACAACAATAACATCAACAACATCAATCAACCTTTTTCTAAACCTTTAAACGCTTGCAATAAAATCAGTGATAATGATGACGTCGTTAATGACGATGACGTCACGAATTTTAACAAATGCGTAGGCGTTTATAATTATGACCAATATGATAATAATAATAATAATAATAATAATAATAACAATAACAACTTGATCTACCAATCCATAATGAGTGATACGAACTACAACCTATACCACAATCATCAACATCATCACCATCACTACTATCATCATCACCAACTTCCGGATTATTATCATCATCATCATCAGCAGCACCATCAACATCATTACCATCACCGCCGTATTAATAATTACCAAGAAGATGATGGTTATGTAAACTCGAATGAATGCATTGACAGTTTAAAAAAAGATTATATTACTACTATCACTACCATCACCACTACTACTACTACTATTGCTGCTGCTTCTTTAACTACTACAAAAGCTGCTGCTACTACTATTACTACTACTGCTACTACTACTAATAGTAATAATACTGTAGCTACAAATAATAATATTGATACTTCGGAATATATACAAATGCCTTACATATACGATGAATGTGATTGGATGCACAGCAACAGTAGCAGCAACAGTTACTTCTACTACTGCAATAATGTTAAAGACATTAACAGCGACGGTATTAAGGACAGCGATGTTCACTTTAGTGACATTAATTATGTTAATTACAACAGCAAAAACATCAATAGCTACAACAACAACAACATCGCAAACCAACCAGAATATACGTCAAATTATTATTTTGATCTGCTAAATAATTTTGAAATGAAAGAAAACTTTGAATACATTATTGGCGAAAATTACATCAACATCAACAACAACATTAACAACAACAACATCATCAACAACACTTTTTCTGAAAATTCGTTAATGACATTTAATCAAAACTTCAACGAACCCAATAAAAATCACATCCAAGCAATGTATCCCCAGGATTTTAACGGCATTCATAACAACAACAACAGTGAAACACACATTACATATTACGGTAGCAGCAGCGGTAGTAGCAGCTGCAACAGCCACAACAGCAGTTGCAGCAGTAGCAGCAACAACATCAGCAGCAACCATTCATTCTCAACATCATCGCCATCTACTTCTTCGACCACATCCGATTTTTATTCGCCTCCGCAAATATTATAGCCTATATTAAAGCTTAACGACTTTATCAACAAAAAACAGTAAAAATACAACAACAACATCAACAAAAACATCAAACAACAACAACACAAATGTATCAAATAGATCAACAAAAAACAGTAAAAATACAACAACAACATCCGCAAAACACATCAAACAGCAACAACACAAATGTATCAAAAAGGTCAACAAAAAACAGTAAAAATACAACAACAACATCAACAAAAACATCAAACAACAACAACAACAACAACAACAACAACATTATAATAATTATAATAAAGGTAATAAATAACAACAACTACAACAACATTTTTTGGCTATCACTCATTCAATAAACCTGACAAGCTGACAAGCTTATCAAGGTTTATATATATATATATATGTTCGGTTGAAGATATAATGCCATCGTCGGAGCCTAGATTGTAAAACCAAATGAGGAGTTAATAATATAAATTATAAGAAATAGAAAATAGAATATTAGATATTAAAATGAATAAATAAATGAATAACAACCTATATTTTAAAAATTAACTCATTATATTGTTGAAAATAAACGAATAAATTTAAAACGGCCGTCAGCCAAACTTCACAGTTTAATAAAGTTGAAACAAAACAGCTTCGTGTTGTTGAAATTTTATTAAAAAAACTTCTAACTGCAAAATGGGGTGTAATCTTCAACCGAACATGTTTATCTGAGAACCTCATACCAAATTATATATATATATATATATATATATATATATATACACACTTATATATATATATATAAACTTACATTATATATTTGTATGGCATAAAACGATGATGATGATGATGACGACGACGATGATGATGATGAAGATTCGCATCTTGAAGCAATCCGACTGAGTTTTTTTCAAGTTAAAAATTTTTTTTAAACAGCTGTTGAAATGAATGTGATGAAGATGATAGTCACGATGCCTCGTTTATCTTTCGTTATTTTTTTATTCGTGCTACAACTATTACTGCTGCTGCTAATGCTGCTGCTGCTGCTGTCACTACAGTTGCTACTATTACTACTACTACTACTACTACTACTACTACTACTACTACTACAGTTGCAGCTGTTATGTTAATTGTATTTGCAATGTAAGAATACAAGAGTTACAAGTTGAACGGGAAGAAAAATGTTTGTTTCTCTATGTTAACGAAAGCATTATTATTGCTTCTATGTTTTAAACAATCAATTTTTTTTATTTTTTTAAAAGTTTTTTTGGAGTTTTTTTTACAGAAATGTTTTTTTTCTTGAGTTTTTATTTTACGTATTTGTTGTTTGTTTGTTTGTTTTTCAGTTGTTTTGTTTGCTAATATTATATAGTTACCCGTATTGTATGCTTTCATAAAATGTACATATATATATATACATACATACATACAAACAAACATATATACATAAATACATACATACATACAGTTTTTAAACATTAAATAATATCATAAAGCCTCTGAAGTAAAAAACCTAAAAAATTTGACACGGTTTTTTAAACATTCATTTATTAGCATTGTTTATGTTCATGTAAGTATATTTTTTACAAATGTGTATGTGTGTGTGTGTGTGCGTACGTGTGTGTGTCTGTGTGTGTGTGTATGTATGTGTGTATGTGTTTGTGTTTTTGTATGCCTATACGTATGTATGAATGTATATTCCTCATTACTGAATGTTTAAATGATGCCGAATAAAATGTATCGATAAGGAATAGAAAAGTTTTTAAAACAACAAAAATAAAAACAATAATAGTTATAATAACAACAATAATAACAATAACATCGAAATAACAATATCGAATATAGTCCTTGTTGTAAGAATAACAATTGCTGTAGTCAGTCCAGTTGTTGTATTGTTAACGTGTTATAACATAAGATCAACCGATAAAATGATATATGGTTATGTAATTAAGCTAGCATATATAATCTCAACCCAATAAATATATATATATATTTGTGTGTGTGTTTGAGTGTGTTTGTTTGTGTGTGTGTGTGTTTGTGTGTGTGTGTAAGTTTAAAAAATGCGCTGAAATTTAAGTAAATGTAGTAGTTCTCAAAATATACAACCAAAATTTGGGATGGGATGTATATTATTTTGTTTTCAACTGTTTGTTTGTTTGTTTATATGTATGTGTACCTATGAGTGTGTTTGTATGTATGCATGTTTGTATGTATGTGTGTTTCTATGTGCATGCCTTGTATGTGAGAGCGTTGACATATGTATATTTCAACGTATATAATTATTTATAGTAACAAATATTTAATTAATTAATTTATTCATTTACTTACTCACTCAATCATCCAATTAAAATTATGAGCCATTAACGAGGCGTTTTTTATTGTTTTCCATCTCACGGTCGCCATTATCATCTTCATCCTCATCATTCTCAATGTATGCACGTACCGTCTGCCAGACCTATTAATAAAAATATATAATTAATAATAATAATAGTTATAATTATTATTGTTATCGTTGTTGTTATTGTTATTATAGTAACAATAGCAATAGTAACAACACAAACAAACAAACAAAAAAACAAACAAACAAACAAACAAACAAACAAACAAACAAACATACAAACAAACAAACAAACATACCTTCAGAGATCTCAATAGCGCTGATGCGTTATTCATGTCTGGAGCTAAGAACCTATCTTTATCCCAGGGTCTGGCGAGGATGATGATGATTATTATTATTATTATTATTATTACTATTAGTAGAAGTAGTAGTAGTAGTAGTAGCAGTAGTAGTAGTAGTAGCAGTAGCAGTAGTGGCAGTAGTAGCAGTAGCAGTAGTGGCAGTAGTAGCAGCAGTAGTAGCAGTAGTAGTAGTTGTAGTAGTAGTAGTAGCAGTAATAGTAGTTGTTGTAGTAGTAGTAGTAGTAGTAGTTGTTGTTGTAGTAGTAGCAGTAGTAGCAGCAGCAACAGCAGTAGTGTCATCGCCATTATTATTTCTACTATTACCATGGAGATGGTGATTGTAATCAAGATGATAATTTTGATAACTTTACTATAAAAGAGGGGCTGTGGATGGCTTCTCAACTAACTTAACTCTCTTCCTGACCAGTTCATGCAACGTTTCAAGTGGCTCCGTAGTTTTCAGGGGTCTGTGAAATTCCAAGCCCTGACATGCGCACAACAGTTCCACGCCCACCACTTAATTATTCAAATTATGCAAAAGATATTCGTGATTAATTATTCATGAGTGGAAATGGTTTTGTGTGAGTTGCTAAGGTTATATTTGAAGTTAAGCACATGTTTTTGTGGCATAATTGGACCAGAATTATCGCGAACGAACAGCATAAATTCAAACAAAGATACAGACAAACAATTATACAAACAAAAAAAATATACAAAATTATACCAACTGACAAAAAAACAAACATACAAAACATAAAAACATTTTCGTCATCCTCAATGTACAATTAACCAGCAAACAACCAAACGTAAACATACATAAACATATATACAAACATGCAAACACACATACTTAAACATACAAACAAATATACTTAAACATACAAACAAACACAAACAAACATACAAACCATCTTCGACATTCTCGACGACTCTGAGGGCTTTCCTAGCCGCCCAGCCACCCATACTCACGTGATCTTCAGTTCCAGCGCTGGTCGAAAGCGAATCAACAGAGGCCGGGTGGCATAGTGTTTTGTTCTCCGAAACTTTTGTTTGTTGTAATGATGAGGTTGTTGTTGTTGTTGTTGATGATGATGACGACGACACCAACAACAACAACAACAATTACATGATGTTTGGCTTTCTGAAACTCTCACAACAACACCAACAACAACACCAACAACAACAGCAATTACATGATGTTTTTTTTCTGAAATTCTCACAACAACAGCAACAAACAACAAACCCAAAGCAGCGGCTGTGCAGTGAGCGATCATGAAGCCTGAATTTAGGCCACCGTTGTTTGTTAAGAATGCTGGTAAACCGCTATAATCTGTATGTACGTATGTATGAATGTATGTATGTATGTATGTATGTATGTATGTATGTATGTATGTATGTATGTATGTATGTATGTATATATGTATGTATGTATGTATGTATGTATGTATGTATGTATGTATGTATGTATGTATGTATGCTTTTAAAAATAATAAGGTACTTGGGTTGTTCAATCTTTCAATTCGTCTTTCGCTCATGTTTGCTATCTCGTGAATAGCTATGGCCAAATAATCCAGAGACTGTAAAATATTATTATTATTATTGTTGTTGTTGTTATTATTATTATTATTATTGTTGTTGTTGTTGTTATTATTATTGACATAGTTGTTGCTAACTTTAGCTGGGTATTCCCCGTGAAAATTTCCCCCGGAAATGACGTCACCGCGTTCTGCCAGGATAAGCTGAGGGAGTAATAACAAAAACAATAAATAATAAGAATTTCAACAACAACAACAACAACAACAATAATAATAACAACAATAATAATTATAATACCGGATTGTCTGTGGCACTGTTGATTTCAGTTTCCAAAATACCTCTAACAAATTTGATGGTATCATTGACAACACCATGAACCTGAGGTATGCATCTTAGCGTGTAAGCGTCTTGCACTTTGTCGCAATATTTGTGGCTCTCTGTTTGTAGTTTTTGTGGTTACTGCTGTTGTTGTGGTTGTTGTGGTTACTGCTGTTGTTGTAGTTGTTGTGGTTACTGCTGTTGTTGTAGTTGTTGTGGTTACTGCTGTTGTTGTGGTTGTTGTGGTTACTGCTGTTGTTGATGATGCTATGATGATGTTGTTGTTGTTGTTGTTGACGTTATGATGTTGTCGGTGATATGGTGTTGTTTTTAATGTAATGATGTTGTGATGTTGTTGATGTTTTTGGTGGTGTCTTAGTGATGAACCTTAATGACTGAAAAATCTCTATTTAATAAACAAATACCAACAAAAACAACAACAACAACAACAAAGTCAACAAAATCAAACCTGAAACCTCTGACGGGTAGCGGTCAGAATGAAGCAGTGACCTCATCCTTGCGGCCACCATACTTTGCCCTGGGTGTGGTCTCACCCTATGGACATCTACAAAAGTAATAATAATAATAATAATAATTATAATAATAATTATAATAATTATAATAATAATTATAACCAGGATCGAAAGCCCGTGTAGTTCCTTTCAGCGCTTCTAGCGATAATGAAGCGACTACATCCGCCTGTTTGCAGATGTTCTCCGCTCTTATCAGAGCTGATGATGATGATGATGTTGTTGTTGATTATGATGATAGCGATGAATATAATGATAATAATAACAATAATGATAATAATATTAATAATAATAATAACAATAATAATGACCTTCGACCCCGAGGGCAGTTATCAGTTGGGTTCCATTGATAAGGGCTAGTCCCTGACAAGATGAATGGATGCGTAGATGAATGAATGAATGAATGAATGAATGAATGAATGAATGAATGAATGAATGAATGAATGAATGAATGAATGAATGGACGAATGAATGAAGGAATAGATGAATTTAAACCTCTTTGGCGGCCAATTTGATCGGAGAGAGCCCGTGAAATTTGAGAATCTTGAATTCAAAAAAAATTTATTATCATCATAATCAACACCACCACCACCACCATCATTATCATCATCACCATCATCAGCGGCAGCATCAGTAGTTGCGGCAGCAGCCACAGCAGCCTCATCATCATCACAACCAACCTTATCAGCGTCACCATAATCAGTCCCTGGACTCCACATCTTGCCCTGCCCCATCATCCCGATGGCGAGATGCGCCAAAGGTGCCAAATCGCCACTCGCCCCAACGGTACCTTTCTCAGGAACCCACGATAGACATGAAGCTAATTTCGAAGTAGAATGTTATTTACGATTAGTTTTTAAAAAAAATTTCCGGCATCTCTAATAAACAACAGGCTATTTTGGAAGTATGAAAAGTTAATAATTCGTTTTGACATTTTTTTGGTACCTTTAATAAATATCAAGTTAACTTCGAACTAAAATAAAGATACATTTTTGTATTTTATTTCTCTTTTGGCAGCCATGAAAAATATCGAACTTATTTTGAAATTAAAAACGTTAGCATTTTCAATAATAATGTTGTAATTTACGATTCTTTATGGTGCCTATAATAAACATGAAACTAATTTCGATGTAAGAAAGGTATATTCTTAAATTTTAAAACATTTTCTGGCTAATTTTGGAGTTAAAAAACTAACTTCATAAAGTTAAATATTCAATTTTAAGTTTCTTTTAGCACCTTGAAGCTCGATTTAAAATCAACGTATTTCAAAAAAGTAAGAACTTAAAAAACATATATACATACATTCCAAAAAACAAGCAAACAAACACACAAACAAACATACAAACACACGCGTACGAACGAACACGCAAACAAACATACAAACAAACATACAAACAAACATAAACACCGTTAAAAGCATCAATAAATTGTCGCAGAACTCTCACGGATATGCCACTGAAACCCTTCGTAAGAACATTAATACGCAGAGCCATCATACGCCTGGTTCGTTCTAGCGATAGTGGGGAACCAACTCCTGATAATGATGACGACGACGATGATGATGATGATGACGATGACGATGATGATGATGATGACGATGATGATGATGATGATGATGATGATGATGTTGATGAAGATAATGATGTTGATGACGATGATGATGACTATAATGATGATGTTGACGAAGATGAAAATTATTGTGACGACAAAGAAGATGAAGATGGTGATGGTGGTGATATTGATGCTAATAACGGGAACAACCATAATAACAATTGTAATAACTATAATAAACAATAAAAATAATAATAATTATGATTAATAATTAATAATAAAAGTAACAATAAACTGATTAAACCTGCGGCCGTGGAGGTAATGAGGTTGTACTGCAGGAGGCTGAAATGATAATAATAACAATAATAATAGTTTTATTATTATTATTTATTATTATTATTATTGTTGTTGTTGTTAATGTTATTGTTTATAATTATAGATAAGGTTGAAAAAGAGGAAGAAGAAGAAGAAGAAGAAGAAGAAGAAGAAGAAGAAAAAAGAGGAAGAAGAAGAAGAAGAAGAAGAAAAAAGAGGAAGAAGAAGAAGAAGAATTATACCTCAGATCATCTTTGCATACAACGGTACTGGCAAATCGGCCAAATCCGGTGTTTATACCATACGTGACTTAGAATCGGTGTAAATGTATCGTTAATAATTATAATAATAATATCATATTTTCAATTATAATTATTTTTATGCTTATAATAATAATAATATAAATATTATATTATTATCGTAATTACAATCGTAATTATTGTAATTATCTTCATCATATCTTCGCGGTCATCATTGTCTTTAGCACAATTGCGGTAATCAGCATCATCGTCTTCGTCATTGTCGACACTATTATCAACATTAGCATCATCATCATCACCCCCCCCGTTACCATCATCATCATCACCTCTATTCTTAGCCAAAATTTCATCTTCAACAAATGATCGGGCATTTTGAACTTTGACCAGGGCTTCCTTGCTGACCTAACGTATGTAAACATGTTTGTTTATTTGTTTGTTTGTTTGTTTGTATGTATGTATGTATGTATGTATGTATGTAAGTATAAATGTATGTATATATGTATGTATGTATGTATGTATGTATGTATGTATGTATGTATGTATGTATGTATGTATGTATGTATGTATGTATGTATGTATGTATGTATGTATGTATGTATGTATGTATGTATGTATGTATGTATGTATGTATGTATGTATGTATGTATGTATGTATGTATGTATGTATGTATGTATGTAGACCTGTATAGCAACTTTCCCAAATCCAAGTTCCATCAACTCTTCACACTTCAAACTATCTCCATCCATATAGATCACCTTTTTGAAAAGTATATGTGCGTGTGTATGTGCGTATGTGTGTGTTTATGTATGTGTGTGTGTATGTGTGTGTGTGTGTGTGTGTGTGTGTCTGTGTGTGTGTGTCTGTGTGTGTGTGTGTGTGTGTAAATGGGAATAACTCCTCTTCACTTTTTTTTCTTGAAAACCGTTTTGGGGGACAGTCGGTACGTGATCTGCAGTCAATGCTTTAAAATGTTTAAAAAATAAAAACAACTGAATGATTGAATGAACAATTGAAAGAATAAATGAATAGATAAAAGAATAAATGAATGAATGAACGAACGAACGAACGAATGAATGAATGAATAAACGAATAAATGAATGAATAAAAGAATGGAAAGACCAACACCACCGACAACATCGTCTTACTAATTTTCTGCTGAGCTGGTTTAGGCATCGTGAAAAACTGCAACATCACCTCATCGTCATTGGCCAATGATTTTTTTATTTGGCTATTTAGGTCAAGTTGGACATCGTGGACAAACGCACCCACATGCTGACCCAATTTTTTCGTAAAATTCTCTCCAAGTATGTAGAATCTTTCAAAAAAATGTAAAGAAAAGTTTTTAATCAGTCATTCGAACCTCATTCGTTTGTTCATTCATTCATTCATTCATTCATTCATTCATTCATTCATTCATTCATTCATTCATTCATTCATTCATTCATTCATTCATTCGTTCGTTAATTCATTCGCTCGTTCGTTAATTCATTCGCTCGTTCGTCAGTTCATTCTTTCATTCACTCATCCATCCATAAATCAATCAATCTTTATAGACCTCTCCAGAGCTCTTTCCACAAGCCAGCCCACACTGTCATCGCCATCCGTCCAAACTGTTGTCGCTGTGGCTGTGGCTGGCGTTGGATGTCTCGGCGACGATGACGTCAACAACGACATGACGTCATGACCAAAGACTACAGTCACTTCCATGCCACTGTCAAGAGTATCGTTACAATTGTCGTCAGAAGTATCACAATTGAAGCTGCTATTGCTATTGTCAACGTTCTCAAAGTAATAGTCATTGTTGTTATTGTTGTTGTTGTTGTTGTTGTTTTTGTTGTTTTTGTTGTTGTTTTTGATGTAATCGTTCTTAAGGTTTATATCATACTCTTTGTAAAAATCAACGTTATTGCTATTATTATTATTATTATTATTATTGTTATTATTGTTACTACTGCTACTACTACTACTACTACTACTACTACTACTACTACTACTACTACTACTGCTGCTGCTGCTACTACTACTACTACTACTGTCGTTATTGTTCTCTTCGACAACCATAATAAAATGCTGATCAATTTGAAAATAAAATTTTTTTTAAACAAAATTAATACAACGATAACAAAATTTAATAATAATAATAATAATAATAATTATTATTATTATTTATTATTATTGTTTTTTTTTCTAATTATTGTGTTATGGCGTGAAGAAACGCATTGGTTGCCATATATAACAGCCGTAAAATGAACATCTGCAACTCGTCACAACAAAATTATAACAGCGATAATAAAAATAATAATTATTAATATATAATAATATTAATAATTTATATAATAATAATACATAATAATATAATAATAATAATAATAACTGGGACGATTTTTTTAATCAGGTGACGTCACCAATTCGGATGACGCTGAGCAGAATTGTGATAATTAATGCTGGGCCATGCGACATTTGGACTAGAAGAATTTTGAAAAAATTATTTCCTCTCTTCGTTTGTGGGTGCGCTTCTGTTTACGATTTTTATTTATTTTTGTTTGTTTTTATTATTATTTTTGTTTGTTTATTATTATTATGTTGTTGTTGTTGATTTATATAGCTCTGTTTGACATATATACATAAAATTTTTTGTAAAAGTTCATTGGTACGGCAAATGTTACGATTCTAAGTTCAAGTGCTATAGTTCAACATCAACATCAACATCATCGTCGTCGTCATCATCATCATCGTCAGGTTTGAACAAGTTAGTAAATTGATTAATAAACAAATTAAAACAAATTATTAAAATTTTCACGTAATTTTTTAAGAAAAAATTGACATCATCTGAATACTATATTTTTTTAAAACAAAGTAGTTATCAATGATTGTGATGACGACGATGACGAAAATGGTGGGAATGGTGGTGGTGATGATGATAGTAAGAATGATGATGAGGATGTTATAATTAATAATTGTTTGAGAAAAACTCATTCCTAACCTCAGCTGACTCGTTTCTGGTGATGAAAAAATCGAAAAATTGTTGTTGTTGTTGACGTTGTTGCCTGTTTTTGTTGCTGTTGTTGATGATGTTTTTTGTTGTAGTTAATGTTGCTGTGTTTGTTGTTGTTGATGTTGTCGTGTTTGTTGTTGTTGAAAACGATTTTTTTTTGATGTTGTTATTAGAAAAATTCAGTTGTAGTAGTAGCAGTTGCAGTAGCTGCTGCAGTAGCTGTTGAGGACGTAGTAGCTGTAGTAGTGGGGGTAACAGCAAAAGTAGTAATACTAATAGTAGTTGCTGTAGTAGTGTTGTTGTGTTAATAGAATAACTGAAAAATATGTATGAATAGAAATGTACTATATTTGTATGTTGAAATTGTATCAAAATTTTGCTTACAGCACTAAGGATTGGAAAATTCTTTATATATTGTTCCAAATAAAAACACACATACACACACATGCACACACACACACACACACACGGACACACACACGGACACAACACACATACACACTTAAACGTGCATAGAATGCGTAATATACATACACGCACACATACTACAAATATTTAAATATTTATTAAATTATCATTTTCACCGGAAAAATACTTAGTACATTTGTACTTATTGATTGTAACCTAAGTACACTCGCAGTACTTATTGTACTTGCGGGTACTTAATCACTTTAGATGTTGACTTTCGCTTTAAGGTGATCAAAGTTTATCGTGGAATTTGGCCTTATTGTATATATAGTTTTATTTTTATTGTTTATTGTTTATATGTGGGCTAGAGTTAAATCATTTCCATCTTTTCCACACACACGCGACACACCACACACATTTGATGTACGAACGAAAACGTACAATAGTAAGTACATAAATAAATGAAGAATACAAATAAATAAACAAATTTCTTATAAAATCACTAAAAAGCAACAAATGAATGAGATGGCGTTGAATTGAAATCAAAAATAACGATGAATTAATAAAAATAATAATTCATTCTTAACTCAACTCAAGCGATGATTTCATCACTTGTATATTTTAATTATTCCTTTCACGGTTACGATTGTGACGTCACTTTTGACTGTGACGTGACACAAAGTCAAAAGATCATTCATACAGCTCTCATTACAATTACAAAATTGTGTCAAAGTGTTATAAACTGCGTTTGAGAGGATGTTCCTACTTTGAAAAATGCGCATTTAGACAAGTATTTGCAGAATATAACTATATATATGTTGTTTATTTCTGATTTAAAAGGTAACTTTTGATGTATAATTCATACAAAATTTGTATAAATCTGTATAAAATGTTGAATGTTTAAGAAATAAACACATTTATGTTTTATGCGATCCACTTGCCAGAGATATTTCATTTTGAAACATGCCTAGCACATATTTCATAGTTTTTCAATAAATTTAAATTATGTTCTACACATTCTTTTACATTGTTACTAGGATGATTAGTGTGCATCCATTCGTTTATAAGTTTTGCGCTTGAAACTTTGAATGATGTGGTTGAATAAACTGCGTTGGCTTTCCGTATTCAGCTTTCTTTGTTTTAAAATTATTCACTATGTTATCGTCGGAAGCTTTGGGATAAATTTGTCAGATGAAAACGATTTTATGCATTTTGCACGAAAAGTAAGTTAACTAGGTTAGGTGCTTTAATTTAAAAATGTCGTTACCAAATGGCTGGCGGAGAGAAGAAATAGTTCGAAAGAATGGACTGTCTTCGGGGAAGATCGACGTCTACTACTACAGTCCTGACGGTCGAAAATTTCGAAGCAAGACTCAACTGGCGAAAGCATTTAGGGACAAAATCGATCTATCAAACTTTGATTACAAAACCGGCAAATTAGGACTTGGCAGCAGCACTTCGTACCACAAGAAGACGGCCAGCAGACACGATGCCAACGTCACCATGCCCATTCGTCAGACGGCCTCAATTTTCAAACAACCTGTAACCGTCATAAAAAATCATACTGATTCCAAAACGCGAACGGATTTGAAACAGGGCACTCAAGAACAACCTCGACAAATATTTTGGGAGAAAAGACTTCAAGGTCTTTTAGCCAGTGACACCACTGGAGAACAAATGTCCTCATTCCAGCTGCCAAATTCTATTCAAAGTTTAACACCTGAATTAGTTGGGACAGAAAATCTTCTCCACAGCATAGCAGCCGCCCTTCATTTGGGGAACCAACCGATAACTGGACAGTCAATGAGCAGTGTCCTGATTCAGAAGAATCCGTGCGCCAACATAAATGCCGACCAACCACTTATTCAGAACGTTGTCATCAATGATATCGACATCCAAAAGCAGGAAGCCAGAGTATTAGAAGCCAGGAAAAGATTACAAAGGGCCATGAATGCTGTCATATTGTCGTCTGCTTGAGATACATATACGTTTTGATATATAATTGTAAAACAACTTTGTACATTTCAGAATAATAATACTACATTTGAACAGTTTTCTTTATGGAATAAAATCAAAAACACCTGATGGATATTTTAAAGTTTCCATTATAAACAGGCACAGGGATGGCAGTTTTCATTTACTTCTCTTATTTTCATCAAGACATGTCATTGTATTTCATGCGCGTGTGTGAATGATTCATGCACGCCTGCATGCTGACAATTCATTGGTGGACTTATTCTTAGATGTTTTGTGCATGTACATAATATATTGTGTTGTCTACTTTACTAATTTCAATAAAAGAAATTGTATTCTTTGTTAGAAAATTATTCTATGTTGTTTGAATTCAATAAATATTATTTTTTATCTTTAAATTATTATTGGTAAAACAAATGAAACAAATTTTCAACTTTTTATTATATAAAATCAGCTGACAGTACAATAGAAAAATAGGAATAATTCCTAAGGCTAGAACATGATTCATCTTCATACATTAATAACGGCTCTTATCATATTTTTGAGGGCATTTTTAGCACTTGATTCTCTGAATGGTGCCAACTGTTCGATGGCTTGCAGGCCATACTTTCTGCACATCTCTTTGGACTCTTCCATCACTAATTTATCTGTTAGGATTAGTTTCGATATCTGTTGGGAGTTTTTTCGTTTTTTTTATATTATTATAACTTGAAATAATATTTTTATGATTTTATAAATTCTGGTTGAAAAAAGTTAAGTAAATTGATAAATTAAGAAAATATTTATAGATAAAATGAGCATATACAGATTCAGCAGTTAAGTTTAGTGAACACGCGCAAAAAAATATCCATATGAATGCTAACAATATGTGAAAACATGATACAAAAATAACCTCTTTGTTTGATCTGTTGAAGAAATCTTTATAATAAAACCCATCACCCGGGTCGTTAGCAGCACCATTGTTGATGCTGATTGTAGAGTTATTGTGTGTGAAGTTGGCAGGATTTTTCAGGTGGTTGTTGGCGTATATGATGGCTGGGGCGAGGATGTCGTCCTCTGTATCCAACGGGGACGGCTCATATAATTTCGTCAGGTCTTCCTTGAACTTAAAAATTAAGGAGTAAAAAGATGTCAAATTAGGTTAATAATTAATTGCAGATCAAATTTTAGTTTTAATATTCAAATTTTTTTGATGAAATAAAGATATGACAAGATTTTGCTAAACAAAAATTATTAGCAAGGAGAGAAGATATGAAGAAAGAGACTTGGAAAGCCAAAGCCATGGATCTACCAAACTGAAAAGCTGACGTCTGTAACGATGGATCATGCCTTGCTAGTGTCAATGCTCCTACAATTTTATGTGTATATTTTATTTTAAAACAAAAAAAACTTTTCAAACTTTTTTTTAAATTTTTAAAATTTAAAAGAGAAATTTGTAAACCAAAATGACATAACTTCTGACAAAACGGAGAAAAAAAAGGCATACAAACATGAAACAATGATAAACCAAGTAGCGAAATGTACCTTGGCAGCTATGTGCCAACAGACTACCACTAGATAAATATGTCTGCTCTTCCCACATATCCATTGAAAGTTCACTTTTCAACTTATTCTTTGGACCCCCGATAAAATCTTCACTACCATCGTCGCTTTCGTTCCCTTGTTCATTGGAATTAGGTAGCTGGTTATGCTGGTTGGGTGACGTCTTGCTGTTAATGCGTGCAATTGTGGTGTCCATATTTTTATTATGCTCATGCCTGTTTAATAAGAAAGATTTGAGGTTTCGAAATGTGTTGAATTCTCCCTTCATGATATCTCTGATGGCTGTTGAGATCATCTCTACCACCTGAAAAGAGACAATGAACTAATTAATTTAATTATTAAAAATGGCTTGAACCAATAAAAAAGGCTTAAACTGACAAAAAATCTGTTAAAATTAGAGAATTAACTTGAAACATTGATCTGAAAATGCTTCCAAAGTAAAGATATAAAAAAGATAAAAAAGAACTTAATAAACTTTTAGCAGAATAAACTGAATAGAAAGACCACCTTGGTATTATTGAGTGAAGCCAAATAAGTAGAAGCGTTGGCGAGTAAGAAATCCCCACTGAGAACTGCCATCTTGTTTCCAAATTCCATATCTTCTAAGGTCGTCGAAGTTAGGCAGATGTTGCATAGATCTATAACACTTTTGTGAACTAGAGTTGCCATGTGAATTAGTTCTGTAATCTCTGCCAAAGTCCTTTGGCTAGTTGGTCAAATTGAGTTTTATGTTTGATTAATTATTAAAAATAATTACTGTAAATCAAATAAAGAAATAAATAATATAATGAAATTAAATATAATTTATGAAGAAATAAATAAACATAACAGAAGGTACCTTGGATAAATACCGCTGACCATAGTTTCTAGCAAATTGGAGCCCACAGCAGGGCCAGCAGTTTTGGAGATTAGTAGCACCATTAACCCTCTCGTCTGCATTGATTGCTTGCCATCTTGAAATAGTTTTCTAGGCAAAAAATCATTATTTTATTAATTAAATAAATGATTTATTCAAAATAAACATACATTTTCAACTACTCATGTCAGACTTTACTTAAATAAAATCCAACATCATATATATAATTAGAATAATACAACTTGCAATAAATTTTAGGATTTAGACAGTAATTAAAATTTGAACAACTAAGCTAAGTTACTAACTGAGCAGTTTTGATTAGTGGATGGCTGGTGCCAACTAATTTCTTCATATGGACGGCCACATTGGACAATTCATCACTGAGCAGACACCTCAAACTCAAAAATGACGTTGAATAACCGACGATTTTTTCTGCTTCAGTAATGGCGGCCTTCCATTCCGAGGGTTTGAATGAGAAGGTGAAGTTCCTACTACTGAGGTCCATTTTATTTTTATTATTAGATGCAGACGTTATCAGTGGTAAGTTCAAGTTGGGGCGATAGATTTTCATGTTTTTGCCACTTAGCAATGCTTTATTCATGATTTTTTATTTCGTTTTTTATCATAAGAAAGATATTTCCAAAGAATTTTGAGATCTAATTTATTAACTTACTTTTACAGTGTAAAATTTACACATTACTTTGCTTTAAAGTTTTAATTTAAAAATTGTTGATTGACTTTGAATCTGACTTACCTTACATTACATTAGACTATTATAGCTAAAATACACCTAATCTAACAATTAACTTAATTAGTAAAAATATTGAAACGTGAAAATTAGAAACTCTTGAAAGTAAAATGTCGTCTGATTACATTTTTACAACTTTGCAGACAGCGTGAGATAGACTTAAATTCGCAAAAAATTTGAGAAACATGCAGGAACTTTAAAAGTGAATTGAGGTTTAAAGGTTTAGAATTTCTATATATATATATATATATATATATATATATATATATATATATATATGTATGTATATATAACCTTACAGCAAACTATAGAATATTAAGATATTTACCATTTTACATACTTAAGTTTTCTTTATTTCGCATCATTCAACCATAATAATTAAAAAAATATAACAATATTTGTACCATTTAACCGTCTAATTATATATAAACCTACTCTTCATTTTTATGTTATTTCGTTCGTTTAATCTCTTTTTACTAATATAAATCTGGATTTTTTAAAAAGTTTTTCATTAAACTTTTTTCTTGTGTTACATACATA